TCAGTATTACATGTGAGGACAACATTGCCAGTCGATGGTTTAGTATTACATGTGAGGACAACATTGACAGTTGATGGTTTAGTATTACATGTGAGGACAACATTGACAGTTGATGGTTCAGTATTACATGTGAGGACAACATTGCCAGTTGATGGTTTAGTATTTGATATGAGGACGATATTGCCAGTTGGTGATTCGGTATTACATGTGAGGACAACATTGCCAGTTGATGGTTCAGTGTTACATGTGAGGACAACATTGCCAGTCGATGGTTTAGTATTACATGTGAGGACAACATTGCCAGTTGATGGTTCAGTATTACATGTGAGGACAACATTGCCAGTTGATGGTTTAGTATTTCATGTGAGGACGATATTGCCAGTTGGTGGTTCAGTATTACATGAGAGGACGTCATTGCCAGTTGATGGTTCAGTATTACATGTGAGGACGACATTGCCAGTTGATGGTTCAGTGTAACATGTGAGGACAACATTGCCATTTGATGGTTCAGTATTACATGTGAGGACAACATTGCCAGTTGATGGTTCAGTATTACATGTGAGGACAACATTGCCTGTTGATGGTTCAGTATTACATGTGAGGACAACATTGCCAGTTGATGGTTCAGTATTACATGTGAGGACAACATTGCCAGTTGATGGTTCAGTATTACATGTGAGGACGACATTGCCAGTTGATGGTTCAGTATTACATGTGAGGACAACATTGCCAGTTGATGGTTCAGTATTACATGTGAGGACAACATTGCCAGTAGGTGGTTCAGTATTACAAGTGAGGACAACATTGCCAGTTGATGGTTCAGTGTAACATGTGAGGACAACATTGCCAGTTGTTGGTTCAGTATTACATGTGAGGACAACATTGCCAGTAGGTGGTTCAGTATTACATGTGAGGACAACATTGCCAGTTGATGGTTCAGTATTACATGTGAGGGCAACATTGCCAGTTGATGGTTTAGTATTACATGTGAGGACAACATTGCCAGTTGGTGGTTCAGTATTACATGTGAGGACAACATTGCCAGTTGGTGGTTCAGTATAACATGTGAGGACAACATTGCCAGTTGGTGGTTCAGTATTACATGTGAGGACAACATTGCCAGTTGATGGTTCAGTATTACATGTGAGGGCAACATTGCCAGTTGGTGGTTCAGTATTACATGTGAGGACAACATTGCCAGTCGATGGTTTAGTATTACATGTGAGGACAACATTGCCAGTTGATGGTTCAGTATTACATGTGAGGACATCATTGCCAGTTGGTGGTTCAGTATTACATGTGAGGACAACATTGCCAGTTGGTGGTTCAGTGTAACATTTGAGGACAACATTGCCAGTTGTTGGTTCAGTATTACACGTGAGGACAACATTGCCAGTTGATGGTTTAGTATTTCATGTGAGGACAATATTTCCAGTTGATGGTTCAGTATTACATGTGAGGACAACATTGCCAGTTGATGGTTCAGTGTAACATGTGAGGACAACATTGCCAGTAGGTGGTTCAGTGTAACATGTGAGGACAACATTGCAAGTTGATGGTTCAGTATTACATGTGAGGACATCATTGCCAGTTGGTGGTTCAGTGTAACATGTGAGGACGACATTGCCAGTTGGTGGTTCAGTATTTCATGTGAGGACAACATTGCCAGTTGGTGGTTCAGTATTTCATGTGAGGACAACATTGCCAGTTGGTGGTCTAGTATTTCATGTGAGGACGATATTTCCAGTTGATGGTTCAGTATTACATGTGAGGACAACATTGCAAGTTGATGGTTCAGTATTTCATGTGAGGACGATATTGCCAGTTGGTGGTTCAGTATTACATGTGAGGACAACTTTGCCAGTTGATGGTTCAGTGTAACATGTGAGGACAACATTGCCAGTAGGTGGTTCAGTGTAACATGTGAGGACAACATTGCAAGTTGATGGTTCAGTATTACATGTGAGGACATCATTGCCAGTTGGTGGTTCAGTGTAACATGTGAGGACGACATTGCCAGTTGGTGGTTCAGTATTTCATGTGAGGACAACATTGCCAGTTGGTGGTTCAGTATTTCATGTGAGGACAACATTGCCAGTTGGTGGTCTAGTATTTCATGTGAGGACGATATTTCCAGTTGATGGTTCAGTATTACATGTGAGGACAACATTGCAAGTTGATGGTTCAGTATTTCATGTGAGGACGATATTGCCAGTTGGTGGTTCAGTATTACATGTGAGGACAACTTTGCCAGTTGGTGGTTCAGTGTAACATGTGAGGACGACATTGCCAGTTGGTGGTTCAGTATTTCATGTGAGGACAACATTGCCAGTTGGTGGTTCAGTATTTCATGTGAGGACAACATTGCCAGTTGGTGGTCTAGTATTTCATGTGAGGACGATATTTCCAGTTGATGGTTCAGTATTACATGTGAGGACAACATTGCAAGTTGATGGTTCAGTATTTCATGTGAGGACAACATTGCCAGTTGGTGGTCTAGTATTTCATGTGAGGACGATATTTCCAGTTGATGGTTCAGTATTACATGTGAGGACAACATTGCCAGTTGGTGGTTCAGTATTACATGTGAGGACAACATTGCCAGTTGATGGTTCAGTATTACATGCGAGGACAACGTTGCCAGTTGATGGTTTAGTATTTCATGTGAGGACAACATTGCCAGTAGGTGGTTCAGTATTACATGCGATGACAACATTGCCAGTTGGTGGTTCAGTGTAACATGTGAGGGCAACATTGCCAGTTGATGGTTCAGTATGACATGCGAGGACAACATTGCCAGTTGGTGGTTCAGTGTAACATGTGAGGACGATATTGCCAGTTGGTGGTTCAGTGTAACATGTGAGGACGATATTGCTCAGAGGTTGTTTGATCAAGGTTACAACATTGAAGGCCTCAGTAAAGCTTTCAAAATAATTTGATGGTAGATATGTGAAGGACATTTCCAAATTATGTCCGATGCAATTCCCTATTTTTACATGTACCATATGTTCCCATATTTTTGGGGCTGAACATATTGACTTGCCTTTGCATGTGTTTGTGACGGTGCCACCCGTGGGACAGGATACGATCATCTTTTCGCGAACACCTGGTATCATAACTATTTTATTGTGATTCATAAACACTTGCTCATGATATAGTCGGAATTGTACACTTAAGAGTTTTCCGCCTTTGTGTATCGACAGTTGAAACATCTCAAACAGTAAGGGGCGGTCGGGTAGCCTAGTGGTTAAAGCGTTCGCTCGTCACGCCGAAGAGCCGGATTCGATTCCCGACATGGGTACAATGTGTGAAGCCCATTTCTGGTGTCCCCCGTCGTGATTTTGCTTGAATATTGCTAAAAGCGGCGTAAAATCCAACTCATACTCACTCACTCTCAAACAGTATAGTCAATCACAATGTCGATACACAAAGGCGGAAAACTGTTTTGGTTGTCCCATACTCATCAAATACATTACCTAGTAACAACGGCATTTATTTAGATGCTACTAATAATCCATCTTCCCGAGGCAAGAGAGTTAACTGACTCCAGTTTCCACCCTTGCCGAAATAGACCGGAATTCCTGGGCTCGTTCGATGCGACACCATTGGCTATTACGAGTTATGTCCCTTCTATGCCTCTCCTATGTTCCAATCAGATTCCATCTCTTGTATCACATGCATTTGCTTCAAACAAAATGGCGGCGCCCTGTCAAGACGATCTGATCGATAATCAAGATCTATATTGTGATAAAACGATCCTTACATCGCGAAGTGCATCAAATCACGTGAGCACCTTGATTAAACATGAAGAGATTTGGCAAATATCTGCTGACAACGAGTTGGTGGTGCACTTCCTTTGCCAATCCTGCAATCGACCGAAATCTGCATAACAGTTATCGAACCGGATTTCGATTTCGTTGCGCGAATTTGATTCGACTACGCATAGACTCGTAACTCCATAATACCAGCCTAGTTCGGCACGGGTAAAAACTGGACTGTATAGTCAGTTAACTCTCTTGCCTAGGGAAGATGCGAATAATCATCAGACATAAACTTATAAAATACTCTGCCACATAACAGCCGTTCCTTTTGAGGACCATATTGTCAGCTCGTGGCACGGTGTTCCATGTGAGGACTGCGATGTTATTGTGCTGGATGTAAATAATAACGTAGCTGTAGTTACGAAAGATACTCGGGTTATAAAACACTTACATAACAGTTATTATCTTTAATGTCAATTATACAATGTATGCTATTTCTCATGTCACTTTCAATGGAAAATGGAAAAAAATATGTTTATATCACATGTGAGGACGACATTGTCACCTAATTAGGTTATCTATGTAAAAAACGACACTGTTGGAAACTGATGGATCAGTGTTACATGCGCTGAAGACATGAATCATCAGGTGGTCGGTGTTACATGTTAGAGTGAGTGAGTTTGGTTTAACGCCGCTTTTAACAGTATTCCAGTTATATCGCGGCGTGTCAGCTTAATGTGGGAGGAAAGCCCGAAGTGATGCAGGTCTCAGACGTTTACCACTTCGGTGAAACCCACGAGCACGGGTATGGTGCTGACAAACCTAGAAACATAATCGGGGAGAACCGGGATTCGAACCCACAATCATAGGTTTCTGGCGTGCCCAAGGGACGCAACTCTGCACAGCGAATCGCGGCGCCTTAGACGACTGGGCCACCCGTGCCCCCCGTTACATGTTAGAACGATTTTGTCTGTGATGGGATTTTGTATTGAGATTAGATATTGCTTCAGCTACAGCTACAAAACCAGATATGTTTATATCTAAAACTATGAGCCCGAATTTCCTTCTGAGAAAAACACCCTGGCAACAATGTTATTTTTGTGGTGGGCATTTTCTCTTTTTCAAAAGTCAGAAGCTTAATTATATTTTTCAATTTTTTTTGAGGATAATCAATTTTCTTCCATAAAATCCAAAATGTTAACAAGATGTTTACAGTGCTGCAACTTTTGTTTGTTTCAGTTAACTCCCGAGATTTGCGTGAACACGCAGGAAAAAGAAAGACGTCACAGAGGATGACGTTACTCACTGCACCGTTCTTGCAAGCTTGTTTCTCCTTCTGCCTTAACTACGCGGAATGTGAAGGTGTGAACTTCCTAAAGAACGCGTCGCCAATGGACATCAACTGTGAGCTGCTGTTCACCGAGACTGACGGAGAACAAGACGGCGCAGGCTGGACGTACTATCAACTCGTGCCCAACTGATTCTGGAAATTTGTTAATGAGGATAAGTTAAACGAAATCTTGACAATATGATTTGCTTTGTGTGCTCGACAAAAGTTAACGCATTAGCGCGTTAACGAATTGAATGGAACTTGATTACAATGTGTTTCTTACCATTTATCATCTTGTATTGAATAAACGTTTCTGTATCTTTTGAACTGAAATGAAAATTGCCTTGATTACGTGTTCTGCAGCAGTTTTATACTATGTTTACTATTACACTGGTTTTACCATTATAACCACACGAACTAACATAGGGGTGCTATCCTGCTTCTAAATGTTGAAACAATTTCAAATTGATGTGGGTCATTGATAATAATAAGTGCATTTCTAAGGCACCTTTTTCATTAACTACGTGGTTGCTCAAAGTGCACTTCTTACCACTCAACAATCATTCTCGGGTAACATTACAACCACCTAACCAGCTCCAATCCTTCCATGCCCCATTCCAACCCGCAACCCCGGAGAATCTACAGGTGTAGTTTTTGAACATCGCCTCCGTGGTCTAGTGGTAGAGCGTCCGCCCGGAGAACGGAAGGTCCGGGGTTCGATCCCCGACCGCGTCATACCAAAATACGTTAAAAGATGGTACTTGTTACTCCGTCTGGCGCTCGGCATTAAGGGGCTAAAACAAGGACTGGTCGGCTCGGAGTCAGTATACTGTGTCTGAGTGAGGTAGTCATGTTAAACTGCGGCATGGTATTTCAGTGAGCTAGTACTATAAATCGGCATCAGTCCGGACTAGTACAAGCAGCCACACAAACACACACACGTACATGCAAGTCGCTATATAAGTGCAATAATCTTGAACACGACGTTAAACCCCATTTCACCTCACCTCACCTATTAAATTGAAACATCCCGCCCCGTCAACACAATAATACAAAAGCAGAAAACTTCAACCATCAAATCAAACAGTAAATTAGCCATCTCGGACCGAATTAGCAACTGCCACAATCACCAGAACAATTGGGAAAACATCCAAATCCCCCCCAACAACCTCAACGACTTCATCAGACGCAGTCTACATTCAGCTCTACAAGCCTGCTAACAACAGAGATCAAGGCTATTTCATCCCGTTCACCTGCTATGAACTCATTAATGAATAGTTTTTTTCAAAATCATCCCACCTAAGTAGTTTAATCCGTGTGTTCTCTGTCCATAACTTGTTACAATATCATCCTTCTGTTGTTATTAGTCAACCTACTCATGTATGATAATTGTTGTTACTGTTAATCCTTCACCTACCATATATAAGTCTGTAATATGTTCATTACTCAATTTTGTTTGTCAACGGTATAAGGATCTATACCAAAACGTTGCTATTACAGTATAATAAAGAAGTTGTTATACATAAACTATTGTCTACTTTGTAACATATAGTCCAATGCATAGTGCCTCTCTCGTAGGTGATTTGTTTGTTTTGACTTTTTTTGTTAAAAAAAAGTAACAAAACCTTTTCCTTGATCATACGAAATTCAGTATACGATTCCAACTGGCATAGGCATGGTTTCTGAATTGCTATCAAATAGTGATGATACCAACTGTTCGCGTAATTTACAATTGCCCCTCTGGTGGCATTCGTCACAAACACATGCAAAGGAAAGTCATCGTTCACATGAAAAATACGGGAACAAATGGTACATGTCCTCCTTCTTGGAAGCTTTTACTTTTACTTAGTTCTTGGATTCCGTAACCCTAATCAAACAACTTTCGAGCAAGAGTCGCATGATGCTCTTTGGACACTTCGTAGAAAAACTATGCTAGATTATATCTCAAAAGCTGCATAACAAACCAGAGCAGCCAGAAGGTGTGATCAATTGTTTCCTATGAGGATGCCTACTTCTTGCCTAAATGTCTTTCACATATAGAGATTTTTCCACTTTTATCAACGAGTGTTGATATATTTGGAATCAAAAGACACTAGGGTGAGATTTTATTTATCATCCAACATCATTCTTCCAACTTTTTCAGTTTGTAGACAGTAATAAGCAGTGTCTTAAGTGTAAAAAGTACTGCTAACAGCTTCAATAGCAGAGCCATTAGTGATGTCATTTGATTGTGACGTCATGGTAACCAATGACGTCACAATGGTCTGCAAAGCATTGTGATGCAATTTCATTGCAGCGATATCTACAGTGTAGATATCGCTTGATCTCACCCATGCGATATCTCCTGTGGGAGCCAGTTTTGGATGATAAATTGCTTTCTCGGTATGCCTCAGATGACATTTGCTTTCACTTTCACAAATTGTCCAGAACGTTTGAGGATAGAGATGCATGTTCACCACGTTCAGTAGAAATGCCGCATTGATCAAGGATTAAAGTGTTTGTGTCATGTGAGATAATGGCGTACAACGTGGACAAATCAAATCAGAATGAAACAGAAAGGACACGTTGCTAAAATGTTCATCCTTAGTTTCATATGTGTAGTTAACCTCGTTTATATTTTTAAAAAGAGGGAGTTTTACTTATTTTAATCGATCAGTCTTGGTGACATTGTTGATAGCGTGGTGTCTTACCCCGACGTCGTAAAATATTATATATTCATATAACTACCATCACTAATTTGCCTTTCACGCCGTATTGAATCTGCTTCAGCAGATAATCAAGATCGATGATACTCGGGCGTTGATGTTCTGAATTTCTAATCCTGGTTTCATAGTCAAGCATACCAGCTTTCAAATGATATATTGGGGGCACGGGTGGCCCAGTCGTCTAAGGCGCTGCGATTCGCTGTGTAGAGTTGGCCACGCCAGAAACTTATTATTTTTCTAGGTTTGTCGGCACCATACCCGTGCTCGTGGGTTTCACCGAAGTGGTAAACGGCTGAGACCTGCATCATTTCGGGCTTTCCTCCCATATTAAGCTGGCACGCCGCGATACAACTGGAATACTGTTAAAAGCAGTAAGTTGGGTTTAACACCCAACTTACTCACTCACTCACCCATATGATTTAAAAGTTTTGTTCCTGAGGCTCGATTCCTTCTGCATGGTCAAGTTCCAATCATTCCGTAGTTGCCTCCTTGCCCCCAATTGAAAATATGGGAATCCGAGTATTTTTCCATATATCATATATTTTCAGGTTTCAAAGCCCAACATTCTCCATGATTTATAAATGCGTTTTGCCTGAAATAAGTGTATCCCATGCAGTAAAACCTGTTTACGGAAAGTGTTTCCACATATGACGTTATTACACTTCAATCTGATTGTTCATGGAAAATTAGGAGATAAACATACTGTGTTTTCAATGTAGATCTAGGTAGATTTAACCCCGCTTAATTGAATATGGAACCGAACGCGCAGCCGGAGGTTTCAAATGTTAAATTTAGCGCGGTTAAATCTACAGGTAACCTAGCTCTACATTGAAAATACAGTTTGTTTATCTCCATTCTACCATGACTAAATAAAACGCGAACTCTTTGGTGTTAGCAAATATACCGAGTGAAGCGGCATGGGTGGAGTTCAGTGTTTTGAGTGGGTTATCGATCTGAATTACAGAATCACTATGGTGCTGTATATACTCAAGCAGTTTGTTTACACGGTAATACTTCACTCGAACATATAACAGGCATTGAAAGCATATAAGCACGGCAACTTGGTAAGCTAACATGAGGTGGGCATCCCTAAAGAAAACAAAGCAAGCTTTGCAAGGCTTTCGCTCTACATCGCACGTCACCATTATGACGTCATATCGCTCATTGTGACGCAAAAGATATGACGTCACAGTCGTATATAGAAAAGCGCCAAAATTTCAAGCTCTCTGTTGTCTCCAAAACGTAAATACATTCCCTTTGTTGATTTCTGTCGTGTTTTTCTGCACGAAATGTATTTCCACACATCCTTTGAATATTGTAGTAACCGCATCTGTGCATTTTGTAACCTGTAATTAGTTATTTAAATATGCATACCGACAATGACTGAAAATAGTACTATTCTATGAATATTAGCTTCCGCGGTGATGCGGCCGTCAAACCAGCTGTTTCAGTCAGAGGGGGGTTATTGTGATCAGAATCGAGTAAAGTCCAAATTCATGGTAGAATACATATTAACGAAATTATTCAACTGCCTAAGGAGCTTTAAATACAGACTAACAAGAAATACGCTTGAAAATATGTACACATCTTTTATCCTACCAAACTTCGACTACTGCTGTCATATTTGGGACAACTGTACAAACGAACAACCATTGTTACTCGAGAATTTACATTTCGACGCATTGAGAACTATTTGTGGGGCGGTTCGGGGTACCAGTCATGTTAAAATTTGTAACGGAACAAACTTTCAGTCCTTAAAAGAACGACGACACCGCTTCAAATTGATAACATTTTACAAAATGAAAAACAGTATTTCACCTGTATATCTCAACGATCTCATTCCAAGTCCAGTCTCTGATAATAGCAATTATAACCTACAATAGAAATAGATCTAACATACAAACAATCAAATGTAGAATCCAGACCTATGCTGAATCATTTCTTCCGGATACGATTAACCTGTGGAACACTCTACCCAATGAAGTTTCTTGCTGATTAAAATAATTCAAATCCTTAATTAATCGTTCTGATACAATTATTAATAATTTTGACTTAAAATACGGTCAGAGATCATGTCAAATTGTCCACTGTCGCCTTAGGCTCGGCTGCAGTGACCTAAATGCTAATAAGTTTAGACGACATGTATCAGACATATCAGACTGCACTTGTGGGTATGACTTTGAAGACGCAATTAACTTTTTCTATACTTTTTCAAAAAAACGACAATATCAGAAACACTATGTATTTCTACACACATGGGTATGATTTAAAAACGATATTACATGGCAGTAGTTTAGTTAGCAGTTCTACAAACATGCCTATTCTTAAATCAGTTCACGATTTCATTGTCAAAAGCAAAAGATTCGAAGAGCTTAATTTTATGCATATAGTAATGGAAAACTGCTATATCTTATTTCACAGACACCACTTGTATTGGCTTCATATATTTCATTTGTGCATTTAGTATGTTTATGTTTAGCACTATCTTACATATAATCTTATATAAAACCAGCTGTTGTAAAGTTATTACCTGGAGAGGTATTTACATATTAAGCAAGTTTTGCTTGTTTACCGATCCAGATTTCTTTTGAAATAAAAATATGTTTAAACCATATATGACGATGTTATTATGACAACTATTTTTAACAACGCAGATATGGAATAATATTTGTATAACGCATACAATATTATGTAAGTATCAAAAGTTCAAGAATCTATGAACACTAAATATCTATCACACGCAATCCATTATAATTATAATTCTTAAAAGAATCGTTTAGTCATTCCTTCCCCTTTTTCATAGACTCTTATGCCTGTAAAAACACTTGTTGTTATGGATAAACACATTTAAAATTTGTTTTACCACGTTTGTAATACAGATACTTATTTTCCTATCGGGCATTAAGTAAGGCACACAAATCGATTAATTAAAACACTATCTTGATGAGAGTATTTTAATCTATATAGATTTTCATTAATTTTGTGTTGCACTAAATGTTTGAAAATTCAGGTGGGCTGATAAAATAGAATGGTATATGCCATATATATGGTATGTGTGAATTAGAATATTCTGTT